GTGACGTTTTAGTGTAATTTAGTTTAGTTTTGTGATTGAAATACAACATATTTTCTATTATTTTCTATACTTTCTCCTTTTTTCATTTTAATTTTAAATATTCATCAAATTGAAAATACTAATTTTAATTATTATGACTAAAAAAAGAATATTTATTATATAATATTATTTTTAATACAGTTTTTTGTGCAAACTTAAGATGTTGAAGGAATAGAAAAATCAATAAAGAAAGGAATGAAACAATAGTGAAATAGTTTATAAACAAAAACGATTAAACTGACAATAATAATATTGTTTAATTCAAATATTTCATCAAAAAAAGGGGAAATGTTTTTTTAACACCTGAATGAGTAGAAATTAGTGTGTCGATTAATTGGAACTGTGGATCAGATTTCATTGTCTCAAAATATTCCCTTTGGAGAAAATTTGAGACAATTATTAATTTAAAACATTGTATCCTTTGTATCAAATCAATATTTTCATATCTAGACATTTTTTTATTTTGTTTTATATGTTTTTTTATTAATATTTTATAAATATTAATTTTATTAATATTTATTTATATTACAAATTGCATAATATTAATTTATCAATTTGAGTTCTAATCAAATTTTGCCAAGTGTTTTTCCAGTAATTTTTTTTTAGGTTTTTTAGCATTCCTTTTACAAAATGGTGGATCATTCTACGATTCGGGGAAATCAACAATTTATTTGCAATAGATTTTAAACAACACGTATGATTAACAAAATTATTATACGTTCAGAATTTTTTGTATTGTAAAAAAAAAAAAAACAAATAGAATTATAATAAAATTCTGCCAAGTGTTTTTCCAGTAATTTTTTCAGGTTTTTTAGCAATTTCTTTTACAAAATGGTGGATCATTCTACGATTTGAGGTAATCAACAACGTGAGAACGTCGATTAATCCAAAAAAGAAGAAAAGGAACATTCATTTTTACAGGTTTGTAATTTCTATAAGCCAATATTCACGATTAAAGTTCTATAAGCTTAGAAAAAAATTGAATTATAATAAAATTTTGCCAATTGTTTTTCCAGTAATTTTTTCAGGTTTTTTTTTTTAGCAATTTCTTTACAAAATGGTGGATCATTCTACGATTTGAAGGAATCAACAACGTGAGAACGTCGATTAATCCAAAAAAGAGAAAAGGGAACATTCCTTTTTACAGGTTAGTAATTTCTATAAGCCAATATTCGTGATTAAAGTTCTATAAGCTCATACGGGTAGACTTTTAGACCTACCTAAGGGAATTCTTTAAGCTCGTATAAAGTATAAAACTAGCAGAGGTTTTTCCAGGACTGTTGGGAATGCTGCTACTGCTGCTGCTGGTTGGTGGTTCTGCTTCTGTATCAGTATACGCGACGGGCACGATAATCCAGGAAAGAAAGTATCGCGAAAGTTTCCAACATGCAATGCTATAGCAGAAGATAAGGGTAATTGTGGAGTTTCTCGCTTGATTGTGTTTACCGATACGACAAGAAGGAACAGCAATTTCTTGCTTCCCTCACATCCAAAAAAGAAACAAGGAAAAAAAGAAAAGAAACGCAGGTAACTGTTTGCTTCCTAACTTATTTCTTTTTATAACGTTAACAACCGAAATAAAAGTGTTCAACATCAAGTGTAATAATTATATTACAAATAATAATAATTATTAAGTTAAATCGATTGAAAGTAAAGATCGTAGGGTGGGATATGGGACCACCAGGTATAGAAAGTAGCATTAAGATTTTGTTTTGGGCAGGACAATAGTTGGGACCCTCTTAAAGTGTTAGGAAGAGACTTAAAACTCTGTCTCGCAGGTAGCATCCGTTTTTGAGACACGTGTTGCTATTGGTTTGTTGGTTTTATTGTAGGATATATTGTGGCAAGGTGTGTTAAATAAGTGTCGCAAGGTGTCGAAACTTAAACGTTCCCTTTATTCTAAAATACTATGAACTTTTATGAAGTTTTCTTAGGTTATCCTCGCATAAAATTTGATTTAAACCGTAGCACCCTAAACTCCAAACTAATTGACCAAAAAATATTTCCTAATGAAAACTTTATTGTACCAAACTCGTATAATAAATTCGATATTGACAGACGGTCATCAATCAGTTGATATTTTTAAAAAGTTAATCGTTTGCTCGTAAAAGATAAATATAAAGATTTCCCATAAAACTTCAAATCTTTCAGGTAAATAATACTCTACGCATCTGACGGGTTGGGTGGTGAGATGGGGTGGGGTTTTATCGTACAAATCGATATAGTAGAAACAGAAATCCATATTGGATTAGCGCCTAGTTTTTGTCGCTTGGCATCAAAGCAGTCCTGATTGGTGAGATCCTCGCATGACTGCCACGGTTGATTGGGATCATTGTAGGGGGTATTTTATGCACCGAGCATGCACCACACACAGCTCGAGCTTGAATACCGAATCAGGACGATAAAGGAGGAATGGAGTGAGACTGAAAGATAGAAAGAGATAGACAGACAGACAGACAGAGAAAGAGAGTTGTAGAAGGGATAGGGGAGGTTCAGAGTTGAGTGGGGAAGAGCAAAGCTTCGGGTTTCCTAGCAAAGGCTGCGGAACGCAGTAGAGAGGCCCGTAACAGTTCAAGTCCCCCTTCCCCTCGGCCACTTCTTCTCTTCTCCGTTTTAATAATCCTCGACCCCCTTTAGAGTATCCCGAACAAGGATAGACCACAGCTGGACCCAGACTACTCCATCCTTTTCACCTCGTGTCCGATACAAAAAAAAGGGCGCCGCCCTCCCACTGCGTACATTTGTATCTCTTTCTCACTCCTTCCCCCTCGACACCCTTTCTTTTTTAATATCCTATGAAGAGTGCCGTTTTTGTCCTCGGCCTAACCAAATTCGTCTGTCATCTTTGAAAGATGGAATTTTTTTTTTTGTAACTCTAATCAGAAGTTGGGATACGCACGCTTATCGTAATGATAATGTTCAAATTGATTGACGTTATCCTGAAGAATATATGTTCAAAGATGAATAAAATGTATATTCAAGTTTTGGGTAAAACGAAGTGTACATTTTCGATACGAAAAAGGCATTTCTAAAGTGGGTAAAGTCACTTCCACGAAGTCGGTCGTTTCCATCTCCGTTAGCTTTGGGGGTAGGTCGGGGCAGGGAAGGGAAGGGAAGGGAAAGGAGTAAGGACGGGGGCGGAGGCGGGGTCAGAAGAGGTGGCCGAGATTAAGGGAACTTGGAGGACTCACCAACTACTTCGTCGACTTCGTGTGGGCGCATACTTGGTCGGAATAGTTAAGCGTCTCAGCTCTCTTCTGAGCCCCTTTTCACCGACGAATTCCCAAAAGTACAAGGAGGAGAGTCGATCATCCGTGAAGGCATTATGCGAATGTATTATTGTCGTCATATTTGTTAAGCTTAAGGCACGGGATAAGATATACGGGGAGTTTTCTCAAAAAAAGAACATGAAAAAACTTGCTGATCTGTTTTTTGTTTCTGTAGGATAAATATATGAAATTAAAATAGATTTTTGAAATAAAGTTGAAGATCTGTCGGATCTGTTGAAAAATCAAAAATAATATTTGTTGAGAATAATTCATGAACAAAGTTAGGATTCTTGACGTTAGGAGGTGTAGCAGACATTAGTTATATCCCCAACTAGGGTCTCGGGATCTTTTCTGTCCTTCCTCAGTACTTCTCCTTTTCATCGTACTTTTCTCTTTTCTTTTTCGAAACGTCGTTCTTCGTCGAGTTGTGAAAAGCTCATGGCAGGCAGGCAGGCAGGCTGGTAGGAAAGCAGGCACAAGCAGCAACAGCAGCAGCAGACGAGAGAACGAGCGACGATATGCTACCGTTCTTCGACGTTTAAACGCGCACATGTGCAAGAGATGGAAAAGGGAATGAGAAAGAGAGAGAGAGTGAAAGAAACGACGGCAAGCTCGCTCAGAGTGGTGGGCTTTGTATCGAGGAAGAGGGGGAGTGAGGTTAGAAGAACACGAGGGAGGATGCGAAAGAGAAAGAAATAAAGAAAGACGGTTGAAGGGAGGTGGGTTGAAGCTAGAGATGGGGGATTTGAGAAAAACCAGTGGAGTGGCGTGGTGGGAGGGGGGCTAGAAACGTATAGAGTAAGCGTTAACGCGTGAGTAAGAAGAACAAGACGCGAAAAGTCAAAGAACCTGGAGAAGGGGGGAAGCTAGGAAGCGAAGGAAGGAAGAAAGAAAATAAAAAGAAAGACGGAAGCATATGAAAAAAGAGAGACGGTCCACGCGCGCTTGCGGAAGAGAGCATCGGTTCGAACGACAGAGAGACTAAGAGGAGGAGGAGGAGGAGGTGGCGAAGGCAGAGGAATGAGGAGGAGGAGGCGACGGGAGTGCTAACGCCCGAGCGAGACCGAGTCGAGCCGAGAACAGGCAACAGCAGAGCCGTTGGCGTAGTAACGTAGCATCGGAACGATGCTCGTACGCTGAGCCTGGCTGCTGCTGCTGCTGCTGCTGCTGCTGCTACGTTCGCCTTTTCCGTCTCTCGTTTAGTCGCCGGCTCCGTCGCCGTCGCCGTCGCCGTTGTCGCCATCAGACTGACATCACTAAGCAGCAACGACGACGACGATGACGGTAACAACGACGACGACGGCAACGACGACGACGACGGCAACGACAGCGACGACGATGACGACAAAGCCACTAGACCGATATCTGTGTGAGCACGCGCCTGTGCGCCACTGCGTTCTCCGGTACGCGTCGTTGGATCCCCCCTACATCGGGATCAGATCTCTCTCTCTCTCTCATTTTCTCTCATTCGTTTTCTCTACTTCTCGCTCCCTCGTTTGGTTGTACGCTCGCGCGCACACGGTGGCGGTTCTCTTGAACGTGTGTGCGCGCGCGCATCCACGTGCGAGCTTGTATAGTATTCGTGGTGTGGATAGGGGTCCCGGCCCGGCTCTCTCTCGGCGGCGGCCCATCGTCCCGTCTCGTCTCGTCCCGTCTCGTCCCGTCCCGTCCCGTACCGTCCCATCCCGTTCCGTTCCGTTCCGTAGAGTAGTATCGCACCGCGCCGTTCGCCACCCGCTATCCACAGCAGTTTCAGCCAGCCGCCCGCCCGACTACTTGCCAGTGTCCCACCGCACGTCGAACCGTTTGCACTCAGAAGCGATCAGGGAGCCCTTCCGTCCCTCCAGCCGGCCTTCTTGCCTGCCTGCCAGCTTGACTGCCGATCTCTCCCACCTCCTCTAACTCCCTTTACTTCTACCTTCATCTCCACCTTCAACGCTGCTACCACCTTTACCTCATCCCTTACTGTTCACACCATCATACCACGCGTCTTCCACCTCCTCCTTCTTCACTTTGTGAGCTCAGTAGTAACTTGGGCTATCCTTATCTCTCTTTCTCAATCGTTTCTTTTCTTTGCCGTCAGTCACACACTCTTGGTACTTGAAAGAGTGCTGGTTATATCCCTTTTTCTCTTTCTCACTTCCACCTCCTTTTATCCAAACTCTTTCTTCACCTTCTCAGTCTTTCTCAGTTGTTCTTCCTCTTTGCTCATTCGTTCGTTCGTTCGTTCGTTCTTTCGTTGGTTCGTTCGCTTGCGGGCGCATTTAACCTCCCGTACGTTCCACCTCCTCCCTTCTTTCCTCACGCCGCCAGACGTCTCGATCTCCCTCTCCCGATCCCTCTCTCTTTCTCTCTCTCACGCGCGCGCATGCCGAGCAAGCGTCCTCAACCGTCCTTCCTACTACTAGACGGAGAGAGGGAGACCCATTTCCCTCCCACTTGCGGCCACTGTCTCTCTTTACCTCTCTATATTTTTCTCTCTTTCTATCACACTTGAACACACTGCCGGTGTATACTCTCCCGCTGTCACCTGATCGCGGGACGCTTTTCGCGGGTGAGATACCGCTCGGCCACCGAGTCACCGAGTCTGCCGTTGTTCGTTCTTCTCCTCCTTTTCCTCCTTCTTCTTCTTCTTCTTCATCTTTATCTTCTTCCCCCTCCTCTCACTCTCTTAGTCCTCTTACTTCCTCCTCCTTATGCGATCTTACCGTGCACAAGAGTCGACTTTGCCGCGTGCGCCTGAATCCTAAGCGTGTGAGAGATGGTAGCTTCCGACAGAAAGGAAGAAAAAGAAGAAAAGAAAAAAAAGGAATAAAGGAGAAAGAAAAAAAAAAAGAAAGAGAGGAGGAGGTCTCAAGCGACGTCGGCTGAGACGCACAAGAGTGGTTGTCCCTCGTTCCTTCTCATTCACTCACTCAGTCAGTCACTCACTCACTCACTCGTTTGCTCACTAACTCAACTCTCTTTCTTTCTCCCGTACCATCACGATCTCTCACACCACTTACCATCATCCTCTCTCTTCCTCCTTTCACGAATCCGGAGGGGTGCGTGCGTTCGAAAGTCGAAAAGCCAGAGAGAAGGAAAGAGAGTGACACATTCTGAGCGTGAACACGCGCCACTACGGATTTAAGGAAGAAAAGAAGAAATCGGTAGCAAACTTCAAGAGCTCCAACTACTAATCAGGTCGGTGTCATATATCTTGTGTCGTTTTTTTTTTTTTGGTTTCTTGTTCTTTTACATTTTTCGTTTCGTGCGTCGTCAGTTGTTTTAATTGTCAATCTTTCGTTGAATTAATATTCCCGTGTATTTTGATAGTTGGTTATCGATCGACGATCATCGTTCCAGTTAACTGAAGTGATCATCGATCGAAAGTTTAGCAATTCACACACACATATACACTTACGATCAATGGTTATTTATTTCTTTTGTGATAAGAATCTTTGTGTTATCGAAGATCGTGCGATATATACATGTATTGTGCATTTGTCTGATCTATTTCCATCCGAGATCTTCCTCAAAGATAAGTTCGACGAAGAAAATGAAAACTCGTTTGGTTTTTGTTTTTTTTTCTTTTCTTTTCTTTTCTTACGTGCATTGAAATCTTCTTTTTATTTCTGGTTAAACAAAAGAAAAAGAAAATTTGTTTTAAATCTCATATTACAAACGATTATTATTATCCGTAGTAATAAAAGAGTTTTCACGTTGATAAACAAAACGACAAAAAAAAAAAAAAAGAAGAAGATAAAAACGCGACGACGGTTAATCTTCACGTGGCGCAAAAGTTGCGGTTGAAACGAAGCAGAGAGTAGAGAGAGTGAGAGAGCGAGAGAGAGAGGATACGTGTTAGCCGACGGTGAAGATAGCGGCATCCGTTCCGGTACCCGCTGCGGGCCGGTCGCCACACCCGCCCGTTTGGGAATTCAACTTATCGTCGCACGAGACTTACCGCTCGTGTGCCTCCAACGTTTTCTCCGTGGCCGTAGTTACTGTCTCTAACGGATAACCACGAGAAAGGCACTTACTTGCTAACTATCGGCTACTAGTTATTCTTTTTCTTTATTTTAGAAATGCGTTCTTTCAATTTCTATCCCTTTTTGGTTCAATCCTTTATCCGATTAGGGTGGATATCAAAAGTTCATTAATAATTGCATATAAAGTTATTTTATTCACTTGAAAAGAAAATTGAATTGCACATTGTCTAAAACAACGGAATAAGACGTGTTTTTTTGGTTCATCATCCTAATTTGTGTTCAAATTTTATTGACTTCAAAAGAACATTGTCTAAAACAACGGAATAAAACGCGTCAACATTTTGTTGGGTTCATCACCCTAATTTGTGTTAATCATTCTTATCTTAATCTTGATGGATCATTGATAATAATAATCTAACAACAGATAAAAAAGATTGTATCTAAACGTATTGATAGATAGAATCCAGGTGGAAAGATTTAAAAACAAAAAGGGATATAATATATCGCGGAATATAGCTGGGAACATCGCGTTTGCTTTCTACGATCGATTAACGGAGTGATCGTCGAGATGTGAAAGCCGTTAACAACGGGCCGAACGGGTGAACGAGTGAACGGATCGCGCGAAAAGCTATCTCGAGAACTACCCGCTCTGCTCAATCGGTTTTATCCTACGGGCATCCATTGTTCGTTCCAAAGATAGGACTCATAGAGTAGCCACGTTGGCTTCTATAATTGTATCATCTGCCGGCTCGCGGGGAAATCGATCGCAAAAAGACTCTCGGGTGCGGCATTGGCCCGTCCTGTATATAAGTACATACATACATAACATATATAACATACATACGTAATATAAATTTGGTTTAAGCAAAAGTATCCTTCAGAAATTTCTTCAGATTTCATTTAGCAATCAAAGAGAGACACTTTGAACAATTTTAACTAAAAATGAATTAGTTCCTACTATATATGAACCCATAAATATATATGTATATATATGCATGAACGCGTTACATAGATAGATATGCTTGGATGATCACATACGTGCATCTACACACTACACATACACATATACATATTATATATATAGGTATATAGGAGGAGTAAGGCAGAAGCCTATGCGCAGTATACGCTTTACGCGGTAATACACAGCAGTAGCAGCAGCAGCAGCAGCCGTGGCGAGCTTGATTACACATTGCGATCACGAGCGTCCCACGAGGCGGGCGGACATAAGGCCTTTCGTCGCGCCACGGCCTGCGGGCAGGAAGCACGTAGCGTGACACCGGGTCGGTGCGGTGCGCGGCAGCCGTTTGCTGCGTTATATGTGTGTTAGTAGCTTGCTTGCTTGCTTGTGTCTGTCTGCCTGCCTGCCTGCTTGCCTGCCGCGTAATACGTATAACGCGACGGCGGTTGCGGCGTCGGGGTCTCCGGTCTTTTACTGGAGGTGGAGGTGGAGGTAGTGCTGCTGGTGGAGGTGGTGTAAGCAGCAATAGCAGTAACGGAGTGGTGGTAGTGGTGGTTCTGGTGCTGGTGCTGGTCTGGTCTGGTCTGGTCTGGTGCTGGAGGAGACATTGGAGGTGAAGCTCTTATGGAGGAGGTGGAACAGTATATGCGTGTAGGGACGCGCGCCATAATACTTGCCGATCCCGTGCCTCTACGTGACTCGCGGCTTCGTGTGCTGCTTTGCTGCTGCCCCGAGACCTTACAATCTGCCTGTGCCTTTCCCGGGACAGCTCTTTCTCTTTCTTTTCCTTTTTTTTCTTTTAGACTACACCACCAAAATTCTTTCACTTCCGACCTTTTTCCCCCTTCTTTTTTATCTTCAGATCAACTAGTTTCTAACTTTTAGCTTTAATATCTTGTTACACATGTTACGATTAGTTAAATTGCGTTAATGAGCTTTTGAATCTTCTGTTAGATTAGATTATTGATCGATATTAGAAATCTTATGATCATGGATTAATCAGAAAGAAAGATAGAGTGACTTTAACAAATTTTCTTGAGACACTTGATGCCCATTCTCGTCTGGATAGTTGGCGAAGTCTTAACTTGGCTGCCTTGTCGTTCGCATGCCTTTAACTACTCCCCGCAGCGAGTGTCACTTTCGCGCCCACCATCGAATGAAGGAACGTGCGGATACATCGCGGCAAGGCCATTAAGCCTCGAGACTATTATCGTGCGTCGGGACGGCTTCGATCAGTCTTATTAAATTAGATTTGCGTTAATACTCTTCCTCTCACGTTTTGTATCTTCTTACTTTTTTTTTTTTAACATACTGCAAATTATACTTTCAAGAAGAGACATGTCTCTTCTTCCGCGTGTAAAATACTTTTATCATTGTTTTCTCTTTCTCTGTCTGTTGAGGATTCGCGACCTTTCTTTCCCAACAACAAATGACGACAACTTTCGAAACAGTTATGCGATATACGTGGGGAACAATGCATTGAGACAAGGTTGACTTTTCTTGCTTTCCATTCGGAAGTTAATTGAGAATAAAAAAAAGGTATATATATATATGTGGTGGAATGAGTTTCCATTGTAAGCTTTTTGAAAAGTAATCTTTTGTCCCGTTGGTGGTAATCGGTGTTTGCTGGCAAAGTAGGCTCTGCAGTAGTAGGGAAGTCTATTTCGCGAGGAATAACGATCGGGACCGAAAGTCAATTTTCCAGGTGAATCTCTGCCACATATTATATTCTGGCAGCTATAATCTACCCCTCCTACGGTAGTAGTAGTAGTAGTAGCCCCCGCCTACTCGGCTGCTGGCAGTCCATTAGCGACGCCCCCGTTTAAACGTTTCCGCCGCTTAATCGCGCATACCTAATTTCCTCTTCTCACGTCTCGTCTATTTCTTTTCTTTTTCAGGACACGGGATTTCCTTCTGTGGGGAAAAAGAAAAATACAAAAAGAAAAGAAAAATCATCTCTTCTTCTCATATCGATTGGAACAGATTTCCTGAATCATTTCGACGAACGGAATAATTGTTGGTAGATATCGTGATCGGAAGTCGTTGGGATTCTATAAGGAAAAGAAAAAGAAACAATTGAAGAGTACCGTGAATATAGTTAGTCGTGCCGACTGAACGAAACGAACGAACGAATGCCGATCTAACTAAAAAGTCGGTTTTCTTGTCAGGAACGTCGTTGTCGTCGTCGTGTACGAGAAGGCACGCAGCAGACGAGATCGGGCGCACGTGCGTTCTAAATGCATTAATCGCACTATGGCGACTGCGACGATGGGTCTTCGCCGTAGGGTACCGGTTAACAATTCGCCAACGCCTTCTGGTCATTCTTCCACGAACGTTTCTGCCTCTAGCAAACGTTCCAGATCGGAGAATAACAATAGTCCATCTCAGGGGAACTTAAATTCGGTGAATGGTTCTAGAGAGGAGCCACCGACAAAGAAGTCACGTGGTACGACCACCAGCGGTGGCAAAAGCAATGCTTCCTCGAGCTCATCGTCAGCCTCCAATAATTCCGGATTAGTTTCCCTGACGGAGACTAATTCGTCGAGCAAGAGTCGTGGGAGTTCCATTTCCAGATCGAGCAATCAAACGAAGTCATCATCATCGACGTCATCATCATCATCGTCATCATCTGGTAATAATAATTCGAACGTTGTCAATGGCGATCATCCTTCGAACGTTCCAGCGAGCAATTGGTCAACAGCCACTTCAAACATGTCGGACGTGTCGACTTACGCTGCAGTCACGGGATTAGCTATGACGAACGGGCAAGGTAGCGGACTCTGTGCCACCAACCTTGGCATGACGACATCGATACCACCATACATGTCTACGTCAATGGCAACCTTCGTTGGGAACGCGACGAATCTCGGTAAGAGTTCGTCGGTGTCTTATCTCGATATATCCAACATGACCAGCGGTTCCTTGGGCTCTTCGAACGCCACGAACTCTCTGGCCTCTGGTTACGGCACCAATAAAACCACCGGCACGAATCTTGATTCGAATTCCACCGGTGTAAAGACGATGGCATTTCCAGGTATCCCGTCGGCGAACGTGAATGCGAATGGTTACGGTTCGGCACAGCAAAAGGGGCAAAACCAGACGGATAGCGTGGCACTACCGAAGAAGTTTCAGAATGATGGCATGTTCAATGCCTATCAGCCCTGGGTGATAAAGACTTACGGTGACTTGGCAAAGACGAAAACAATCACGATCAAAAAGTATGCGCGTATTTTGCGAACTCTGCGAGGGGAGGAAGTGAACAGTGCAGAGAACAGTAAGTTTAGGTTTTGGGTAAAGAGCAAGGGCTTCCACATCGGTCAACCGGAAGGTTACGACGCTAAACCAGCGGATAGAATCGTTGGCCGTCATGCGGTTACCAATCCCGGATTGGATCCTCCTCTTTACGTGCCTACACAGTTGCCACATAATAAGGTGAGTAACTTTTCAAAGATTACACTTGCTATTATCTCTTCTTTCAACATTTTGGCGAAATATTATCATAGATAGGTGGTTCTAAGTTAAAATATAAAGGAAGGAAATTGTAGTAGAAATATCTATCCCTTAAAGTTCGAATCGTGTCAAAGTAAAGATAGATACGAAGAAATGATCGTTACGAGCCATTAGCAAAGACGATGATTACGATGTAATCGTCTAGTGCGACGACTACTATCCCAGGATCAAGAAACGACGGAAGTTTTCTTTCTTTCCCTTCCCCTTTTATATCTTTGTCTATCTTATTACCTCTTGCCAAGTGGAAAGAAGAAGCGCGAGTTTACGAGCTAGGAATTTATCTCTCGGCACGTTAAAGAAAAACTGCGACGAGAATAAGAGTTAGGTTTCTTGGGGTACCCACCACCGGTTAGGTTCTTAGGAAAAGAGTTGCGGCGTGCTAAGATAAGGTGGACGCTTAATTGCATCTAATTAAACAGAGAGAAATTATGTTCTCTTCTAGAACGCGTTATACTCCTTATGCTTTCTGAGAAATGTAAAAACGAACAAACGAACGAATGGTTGGTCATCAATTTTATCGATAAATCTTGCTACGGATTATCATCATCATCATCTACCATGTTTTTTGTTCTTTTGTTTTTTGCGATACATCCTATATATTGAAATTCAATGTACGGCGAATGTATTTTCAATAGAAAACTCTCGTAGGGTTTTCGGAAATAGTGGTTGGTGGATCTGTTGGCAGAACAGATTCACTACCGGTAGTTTGAGTTTTACGTCTGTGGCACGGCCCCACCAGTCGTGGGATTCCAAGCGCGGAAGTAACGCCGGAAACGTTTACTCTTTCTCACGAATGAAACGGCCTGATCCGACAACGGTGTAGGTAAGCTTCGAAAGAGAGGAGCAGGAGGAGGATGAGGAAGAATTTTCTCTTTCCTTATATTTCTCGTTAGATATCACCGAGTGTTTTCTAATCGTTGATCTGATACTGATCGATAGATAAGTTAGAGTTGTGTTGTAATTCATTCTGAAGTCGGACAGGTCTTTTGCAAGAAGTATGAACAATTTGGGTAGATGTAAAGGAATGGAAAGGCAGGTGAGGAAGAAGAAGAAAAAGAAGGGATACTCTTACATTAGCAATGTGCGTAGGGAGAAGAAGAAGAGGATGAGGATGAGGAGGATGCGTACGTAACCGCGGCTCGTGTAACGCGTCCATACGGCGCCCGTAAAATATTTCTTTCCTGGCCGTAGTCATTTTTCACGGTTGACCGTCGTCGTCGTAGTCGTCGTCGTAGTCGTTGAGGGCCGCGAGAGATAACAGCAGCCAGTGCCTGCTGCTGCTCCTGCTCCACCACCACCACCTCCTCCTCTCATTCTTTTTCCATCTTCCTTTCTCTTTACTCTTTCACGCGTTGGCTTGCTCGTTTACTCTCTCGCGTTTCTATATCCTACACACCGCGCTCTGTGCTGTGCTGTGCTGGGTCTACGTGATAGAGAGAAAGGTGTAGAGAAGAAGAGAGAAAGAGAAAGAGAGAGAGAGAGAGTGAAAAGGACGGACTCAGTAGGGGCACTTCGGTCTCTCTCGCTGGGTGGTAGAAGAGTAGGTCTGGTCGACTAGTCATTAGTCACTTTCCGAAGCAGAGGCACAGACAGGCTGTGGCGGTATGTTCACCGTCTCTCTTCTTCAACAACTCACACCACTACTACTATGAATTTATCCTCTCTCTTCTTCCCTAACGGAGGCCACAGTCTCTCTCTCAACGTTCTATCTTTCTTTCTCGCGTTATAACCTCCACTATATCTCTCTCTCTTCCTCTGATTCTCCCTCTACTTCGCACATCTCTCAGTTCGTTGTCTCTTTCTCTTTCCTGTATATACCAGCCGACTCTCTCTTTCTCTCTCTCTTTCCCGTTTGGTCCCAGTCGCCCCATCGTGCACAGACTCCAAGCAGTAAGTCTTCTATCTTTCTCTTTCTCATGCACACCAGCTGTTCCCAGTTCTATCAGCCTCTCTCTTTCCTACCCGTTTGCTTTCCACAGGCCGCCAATCTCTCTCTTTCTCTCTCACTCTCTCATTCCCTTTACGCTTACCGTCGGAAGAAATTCAAGCGGCGCTCTCTCGCATTCGCTCCCTTTCTCGGTGCTAAGCCTCTCGCGCGTCTATCTTGATTGAGAGGGAGCTCTCTTGCACAGGCCCCGTGGCCCGAAGGGAGATCGCTTGCTTCCATCGGTGCTGCTGCTGCTGGGTTCTGCCTCCGTCGTCGCGACGAAGTAGAGGAGGCCGAATTGTATATATATATATATATATATATATATGTGTGTGAGAGAGTGTGAGTGAGAGAGACTGAGCGCTTGTCATTGATCGTCCCGACTCACACGAGCCGCTAAAGGTCCCGTACAAGTACAGACTACATGGGTTTGCCTGCCTGCTTGCTTGCCTGCTTGCCTGGCTTGCCTGTTTGCCTGGTTGCCACTCTCTCTCTCTCTATCTCTCTTTTTCTTTCTTTCTCATTCACGTACACCCTTACACGCATTTAAATGCGCGCTCGCAAACTGAACTGAGCGAGCCTATGGGGGCGAGCGGGCGTGTGCGTGATCGCATATTCGGGTTGCGTATATATCGAGAGAGAGTGAGTGAGTGAGTGAGAGAGAGAGAGAGAGAGAGAGAGAGAGAGAGAAGAGGAGTTCGTGAACAACTGACGATAGTAACTGGATACCTCGAAAGAGATACTCTTCTTTTTTTTTATTTGCTTCTTTCTTTTGTTTCTTTTAGGTTATTTCTCTTTAGTTTTAGGTTAGTTTTAGTTTTTGAATATTGCGGATTAAAAGAATTATATCGAAATCGTTCGTAATCGATTCGGGGATTATCCGTTTTTTGATTTTAAAGAATTTTTTTTTTTGTTAGGGTCAAATTTATAGTCTTTTTTTGTATTATTTTCCTGATAAGAGCTTATGTTCTTTTCTCTTCTTACTTTTACGTTGCAATGACTCAAGTAGACATTCGACTTAAAACCGGAAATCTGTTTCGTTCTTTTCTGGATCACCGGAGCTTATAAATTTTTTCCTTATCTTCCTCTCTCTCTCTTTATATTATTTCGCTGTAATTAACGCCATTACACAACTACGCCATTTTACAAATGCATAAATCCTAAAAAGCTCACAAATCTCGTGTACACGATAAACTCATATTTTTTTTGGTAATGGGGGTGATGATATGTCCATAATTTTGTTGTTGAACTATCCGTTTGAATATCATTCAGATTTTCAAAGAATCACATTCGGCATTCTTTTTCTAACCCACACACCTATTCTTTCCTTTATCCTTGAACCTTTTTGTCAGAGTTGAGAGTAGGTAGAAATAGTTGTTTGTCCGCAATGGGGGAGGAGACCACCATAGAGTTGGATGGGACATTTCCGCAAAAAGAAGGATGAATGGCCGATGAATGGGAAAGAAGAGTTGCGAAAACGGTTGGAGAAGAAGGGGCTGTGGGAGTGAAGGGGTTGGCTCGTGGTTCAAAGCTTTCACTGGACACAACGGTGTACCACATTCATCTTTTATCTTTCAATTCCATTTTTTTTCTTCTTTTACTTCATTCGGAAACATCTGAAAGATTAAAATCATCCGAGTTTTTAACATCAATTATTTATGCTAATATTTTTAATGATACTTTTCTTTTTCTTAAAATCCCCCCCCCACCCTTTCTTAATCTTTTCGAATTATCTCGAACGAGTCAACAAAACGAGAAATGTCGAATGGAGATCGATAGGATGCTGATAAAGAACAATTGATAGAAGGGAGAAAGAATAGAAGAACGGGGGTAGTTGCAGAGGAAGGGATGAAGGGAGGAGGGTGGGATTGAAGGTGATAGTAGTAACACAGGGAGTTGAAAGACAAAAGGGAATGAGAAGAAGAAGTTGACCGTGCCGATAATTTGTCACCCTGCGCTCGAGGGTATAACTCGATTAACTCCTACCCCCAAGGTCATGTACCTGACCCTCGTTGAATAAAATAGTGGATCTCTCACACGGATGCAAGAGAGGAATAGAAAGGGGAAAAGAAAGAGAGAAAAAAAAAAGAGAAGAATAGAAGTTCGGACAATAGGGACAACTCTACTAGTTCTGGGATCCCTGATGTTGAGAGTAGTCCATTTTTTATTGTACATTTTTTTTTTCAAAGAAATAGTTAAGAAATAAAATTGAATAACTTTTCACTAGGATGGTCAATTTGTATAGAAAGACTTTATGGAATTCGATTGATTCTTGCTAAGTATACTAACAGCAATAAGAATTATTATACTTTTGAATATGTTTCATCACCTGTTTAACACGTTGAGTGCCACGTCAGTCATAAATGACTGACACCAAATTGCCCATTTAGGCCGTGTCTGACGCACGTGGCCTGACGAAGATTTCCATAAAAATTCGCATGGCGTTCAACGTGTTAAATGATCAAGCTTGTATAATAGTTCTCTATGGGCCCTTTTCTAAGGTTTCTCGATTATTATCGTTATAGTTTTACTATAATGGATGTGTATACTAGACTTAACACATATACATATACACGTTGTATTCTATCATTGTCTATTATCACAAGTATAGGAGTCTTGATAATAGTAGTGCAAAGAATAAGAGAGAGACAGAGAGAGAGAGAGAGAAAGTGAGTGAAACACGGGGTTCAACGCTTGGTTGCATTTGGTCTCGAACAGGAGGAGAACGGCTGTTCTCGAAAAAGGGGACATAACGAAGAGGGTGGTTTCATACGGTATATGTGTGCATGTGTATATGTGTATGTGTCGTTTCGGTCCCGCTGAGTCACGCGCTAAAAGAGAGAGAGAACGTGTAAGGTCTTGTCTGAAGTGAACCGAGGTTAGAAGAGGGGCCGTGCAAGAATTTTCTTTTTTTTATATTCGTTATTATGATTTACAGGAATAAAAAAACTTAGATGCTAGGTTAGGTAGGTTTTTAGATGGCGTGTACGGGGTG